TGTTCCCTCATCCAGGTCATTGATGAATGTACTGAATAGCACTGATCCCAGTACCGACCCCTGAGGGACTCCACTAGATACAGGCCTCCAACTAGACTCCGTCCCATTGACCACAACTCTCTGACTTCTTTCCTTCAACCAATTCACAATCCCTTTCACTACTCTATCACCCAGACCACGCTTCCTCAGTTTAGCTGCGAGGATGCTGTGGGAGACGGTGTCAAATGCTTTACTGGAATCAAGATAAACCACATCCCCTGCACTCCCACCATCTGTCCACCTGGTTATGTCTTCATACGCTACACTCCCACAGTTAGCAGAACACCTGACAAGTCACCAATCATCAAGGACAAGAAAGATTCAAAATTTCTTTCATTTTGAAGCCAAGTCAGTTGCTCTCACCTAAAGAGTAGGAGCCCAGTCAGCTCACTTGCTGAGGTCATTAATGACTTATCCTTGCCACTGAACAGCAAGCTCTGTAACTGTTCAGCCACACCTGTTCTTTCAAAAAATTCTGTCAAAAGGGACTGAGGGCCATTTTTCTTATCAGGCCCTTTAAGTCTTATTCTGGACTGAAGTTTCTCAGCAGTCTAGAGCATAGAGCAGGTTACGTAACTTATGATTCTAAGCCACAGAGGAATGAATACACATGCAAAAATACACCTTCTACAGGGTAAAAAATGAGCTGTATATAGTGAGTGATGCTGTGCATATGATTACTTTAAACTCTTATTCTTCCCCTTATAATTTTAAGTTAATGGTCTGAATATGTTAATAGGGCTTCTAATATAATTACAGTTTAAAAATTAAAATCGTCTAATTGGGACCCAGTATGGCAGTAAATGGAACATCTATTGTAGACCAAAGTGATTTCAGACTTAACTGTACTTGTAGTAATACAGCAGTAGTAGAGTTTGTAGTAACATAGCAGTTTCAAGAATACTACAATTGCTAAAAACTCAGATATTGCTATAAGAAAATATACAGTCTAAGAAGACAAAAGAAAGAAAATAAATTAAAACCAAAACAGGCCAATTCCAGGGTTTGCCAATTTCTGTTTTGCCTTTATATTATGAAAGGGTGAAAAAACCGTTTACATGTTGCTTGTATTTGAATGCATGCAAAAAAAAAAAAAATTCAGTATTTCAGATGTGTCTGTTTTCCCTACTTGTGTTTTTCAGACACTTTTTTTTTTTAAAGACAAATTACATGGATGTTATGGTAGAAGAAAAAAATAAAAATTACTTTCACCTGCTTATGTGGAAAGACATGTAGATTTTCCTTTTATAGTCTTCTCTTTTTGGTTATTTCATATATGTGTATGATGTGTTTTCTATGTAATTACATTAATTTCAGAACAAGTTGCATCAATAGAAAAGCACAAGAGGATGAAAACCAGTTGCTGGTTGAATGACATTTTATTTTCACATTCAGACAGCTGTACAGTTTCTATAAATAGATATGGTACTATAATATTTACACCATTTCCTCACCCATTGCTAGCGATATTCCGTTCAAAACAGTAGATAACCTGTCCAAGCCAAAACAGGGTTATTTCTGGGTGCATTTTCTCGGAATTCTATGTCAAAACATACAATGCATCAGTTTGCATCAGAGCATTTTTTCCAGGTATTTTACATGTAACATTATTTTCTTCAGGTAGTCTCTCCCTCCTGCATCCTAAGAGCTTTCCAGACAAGTGCAGAACAGTTAAAGAACAAAAACAGGATGCAAAAAACATTCATATTCAGCATACTTAAAATAAGGAATGTGATGGTTAGTTTTAACTGCAGGAATTTCATTATCCATCAACACAGTATTTGCAAGATTCCTTGATATACAGGTACAGATTGAAAAAAACCAATAGCTTAAAAAATTTGAAGACAGCATAATCCTTTGGGCTTATGAATGTTTTCTGCAGACTGCTATAGAAAAAACTTGTGTATAGTTACAAATCCAAAAAAGACATGGGTCTGCCGTGTGCTTCTTCCAATAATGTTTCAAGTTTTACATTTCCTTATACATTTTTTCATCCCTGTGATTAACTGCTTTAGGTAGTGCTTATATGCATCTGTTAACTTTACTGCTGGGATACAGCAGTTGGGTAACACAAATGTTACCTAAACTCCCATTTGGAAATCCACACCATCCATGAGGTGTCAGTGTTTTTCACAACGGACTGCCTTCAAAGTTTCTCTCTCCACTTCTTTTCCCACTTGAGAAGCAGTCATCTCCACAGGTGGATCAATTTCATAGCCAAACTTCAATTGTCACATGATATTTTAACACTACGGTAGCTAAATTGTTCATCTCTACCAAAAGGGTCTGAAGAACTGTGACAAGAACTCCATGTTGGTGGTAAAATGAACAACACAGAAGGAAAACAAAACCACTACATTTAAATAACATGTAGGACCATACTGCTTCCACTGTGCACATACCAGGAATCTGAAAGCAGAAGTCTGCAGTTATAAAGTGATTTATCTGCCACAAGTAGCACTAGAAACAAAAAACCAACCAAACTGAAGCTGTTAGTCATCTTAAGAAAAAAAGGAATTCCAAAGGAATGGCCAGAGTAGGTCACTCACAGCCGGATGCTGATGCTCAAAACTGTCTGACTAAAGCTCATATAAAAACTACATTAAGGATGAATTCAGAGACTGAGCAGTGAAGTCTTAGGTTTTTCTATGGGTAAAGACTTGCAGGTTCATACATAAATAATCAAGACCTCATAGAAGACAGTAAAGTGAGCTCCAGTAACTGCAGTAAAAATGAGAGTACTTCACGTCAACGTGCTAAAGGGTAGGTATTTCCCAATATTGTGATCAACTGGAAACTGGTCGAGGTGGTTTGCTTTTGTTTTCTGCCTCTTTTCCACGAATGGCAGCCACATAAGAGAAGAGACACAGCACCGAGTAGCAGATTTCATGAGCCTACAAGAATTTAGAAAAGGAGATCATGAAAATCAGACAATTTAGTGTTTTACAAAATCCACTGCACATTTTGTATTTTACTGCATGTCTTCCTTCATGGGACAAATACTCTGGCAACATACAAAATCAGGAAAAATTGTCCCTACTACCTTCTAACTGAGATGGATAGAGAAGAAAAGCCTTATAACAAATACAAAATGTCCTTTGGCATAAACCCATCAGTTGCTTAATAGTATGACAGCTTGACAGTATGACAGTATGATTTTGATGGTGGGATTCTTTCTTATTCACAACTATCTTTTTATGCTCAAAAGTACAAGGACTGGTAATCCTTGTAATCTTTTAACCAACACTAGTGAATCCATGGATAATACAAACTCTCCCCCTCTTTTTCTTCATTAAAACTCCACAACCTAACATTGCATGTTTCATATGAAGAATACCAAGCAATTTTGTCACTACCTTAAAGCACAGGGTTTCACACACATTATCAAGATTTACAATTATTGCTTTTAACTGATTAAGTGTGCTATTATTTAACATAAAATCCTCTTTTAGCAAGCAGTGGGCACGGTGGTGTTGGGTTGATGGTTGGATTTGATGATCTTAGAGGTCTTTTCCAACCTAACAATTCTGTGATTTATAACCTTTATAAAGGTAATAAGCACGACAACATGTTTTGTTGTATTACTTTGAAGCTAAAACACTTGTGTAAAATACAATTAATAAGAAAAGCCAGTTTAATGAAAATTAAGAGATACAGCTATTTGCTTCTTAAATCACATATAATCTAACCATTTTGTTTCTAAAACATTTCTAGCTTCTTCAAGTAATTTTTCTCTGCTCTTAAAGGACTGTGAATTTCCATGCAATCACCAAATGTAGACACAGCACTTCAGACATAAAACAACTGAAGAAATTTCAGTAGTGATGATAATCATTGTCTCCTGCTTCTTCCTAGTAAGTGCATATAAGCTCGATCATTGAACTACACTGTGTAAAAATGCTAAGTATCATTATCAACTGCTGGTGTTCAAAAATGTTATAAAAACTGAACACTAAACCATAGCAATAACTCACCTATATGGCAGGAATCAATACCTGTACTGTTCTCCTGCATCTCATTGCTCGCTTTCATGAGAAAATGGGAAATTTTCATAAACTGTTAGCAATCATTTATGCCCAGGAACTAGTCTCCCTTTCCATCTGTTCTGCGGATTAAGGACAGAATTCTGCACTGTCTTACATTTAACAGTTCCACTAGCTCTTACTGTGCTAAGGTTCATGCTAAACCAGCTACCTTGCATCTTTATCTTAACAGAAAGAGACAATGTTTTCTGCACTACCTGTGAGTTCCTCTAGTTTTGCAGAAACAACAATCAGCAAGTTTTGTTGCCTTCCCTTAAGGAAAACTATCATAAAAGAGCAGCTGGTGTTTCACTGTGGTATTAGCACTGCAAATCCTGCAATCTCAATGTAATCCTTTTTGACACATGAAAATGTAAAGGTACAGCCTCTAAAGAACTACCAGAAGGCATTGCGGTTGACTCACCATTGGCGTCTTGTACTTGTGGCTCACCACTTCTTTAGTTTCAGGAACTAAAACCGGACGGGCAAGAGACAAAACAAAAAGTTCAAAAAACGAGAGGAAAAGGGGAAAGAAATAGCACAATGTTCCCATAGGAAAGGGAAGGGATGCACAGTCAGCAGGTGCAGGTACAGGGCACCTCACTATCCCTCACTTCTAGATGCTCTTCCTTCTCTTCATTTACATTACATATGTCCTTGAAGATACCGGCAATGTAATAATAAATTACTCAGGTTGGCAAAAAGCATTTCACTGCCTCTCACTGGAAAAGCATAGTAGATATGTGACGGTTCTCAGAGACTCTGGCTTTTACCATACTACTTATTCCTGCTAGACAGCAAAATACACTTAATGACAAAATATGCCTAATGCCTGCTACAATAAAATATCAACCAACAGTGCCACAGGAATTTGTCAGTATGTGATTCCCAAAGATTTTATTCTTTTGATATTTGGATCCTTCTCTGCTGAATAACAGATCTCAAAAGAACTGTTAAGATACTGTAGTAAGTTAGTGAAATCCAGGGAAAACAAATGAGCTGAGGGAGAAAATTTTCTCAACTGGAAGACTGTTTCCCAGCTCTGTTTCAAGTTTCTCAGGACATTCCTTCTCCTGTCTAGGATGTGTGTGATGGTTATGTACTTGACATACTCACTGAAACGTTCATTGCTTTTGAACAAGTTGCCCTAAAACAAAATACTGATTTCAGCTACATGTATTATTAAAATACCAGGCTTGTTGATTTCTAGAAGACTTTCTATATAAACAGGATTAGGGCACTGATGAGAAAAAAATCCATTATCCAGAAAATTTCATCTTGCTCCCTTGCACTGCCTCAAACTAACAGAAAGGAAATAGGCATAATACAGCCAAAGAAAGTTTGCCTTTTGTTCTCATTGTGGAACGCAGAAAAAAGCAAGCTGTAACCATCCCATTAGTGCACATTGCATCTGAACTGTGCCTTCGACCCACACTTGGTCTACAGATACTGTTGTAAACAGATGCCATGGGAAATCACCAGGAGAACAAAGACCACATTAAGAACATACAAATGGCAAATTTAAAATGTTAAGATCAGTGGAATACCAAGACCAACTCTGAATATTTCCCTTTCTAGAATAGCTGAAATTTGCCATGGAATTTCTGTGTCACAACAAAAAAAGTTAGAAGCAGCAATATAGAAATTATGCAAAATCAAACCATACCAGGTTCATAGAGGAAGGGAAAAAGTTTTATTACACACAGTACTAGCGACAAGAAAAAAAACAGTCAGATGAGTTCAGTATGAGTAACTAGGAAAAGTCCACAACAAAACCTAGCCATGCAGATGTAAACTCTTCAACTATGATATGACGTGGCTAAACGCTGGAAAGGGAGACGGATCACACTGTAAGGGGCCAAAAGGAGGCAGTGCAGACTGGGTTTGAGAAAGTACTCTAACCATAAACCAGTGCCTACTAATTCTCATATGTCACGGTACTGTCATTCTTGAAAAAAATACATAATGAAAAGTACAGAATATGATTGTAAAAACTAATGTAATATTTTTGGTTAATTTTTCGATTCTCTCTTTTCTTGGAGTTGGCAGTTACATTAAGGACTAAGAAACAGGGGAAGCGCACACCCAGGCTGCACTGCCCCAGTGATACCTGTGACTAGAGTTGGGGAGAAAAGAAGGTGCACATCCAAGCTACCTTACCCGTTGGCACCAGATGTTCCAAATGAACTCCGTGTCACCAGGGGATAAAGGTGGGAGTGAGGCTGGTGCACAGCCAAATAGGGTAGGACTTTTACAGCTGTGTAAGTCTCACTGCCCACTGGATAACATACAACTGTTCGTATACTCTTCAAAAAGCAGAAATGGAAAGCTGTAAGGACCTTGTGCCACGAGGGGAGGTGAGAAGGGAAGCTGTAAAGTCCTGTTTCATATCTGAGAATATGAAGAAGGGAACAGGAAAGCACCTAGACAAGCTACTGTCTCCCCACTTCGGAGTCAGTAAAAGTTGCCTTGTTTTCAAGTAAAGTACTCCTTCACAGTCTTTCCAATGGGGAAAATTGTCCCAAGAGGAAGAGTAAAAAGAGTGGGTTTAGATTTACACTCAGAGAAGTCAAAGCACTACCACTGCAGAATACAAAGGAAAAGAAGAAGAAAATACCCCCAAAAAGTAAAAAGAAAAAAAGACTCAAGCCTCAAATTGAGAGATTAGCAGAAGCACACTTCTTCTAACATTAGTTGTTTTCCTGGTGCTGTTGAACTAAGTGGATGAAGGGAGTAAATTATTAAGTACCATCCTGCAGCCTTTGGTCCTGTGAATGAAAATATGGCGCTAGCATAGAATGAGTTTAGGGGACATCACTTTACCTGCTGGAGAATGAAGGTTTTCATAGCAGCGGTGGTGAAGGGACCACAAGAAAGTAAAGCACAAGTACGCAGCAGTAACTCAAATTCCAGAGGGAAGAGCCTTACATTTCCTCACTTACTTAAATCTCCACTTCCATTTGTGGGCAACAATTCCTGAACTTCTGCTTGCATCCTGCTCTGAAATCACAATTCCAGCTTTCATGCTGCCATCTAAACCCAGTGTTAACACAAACAGACCTTTTATTTCCTGCTGAGATATCACTAAACTTGGAGCACTCATGCTTGGCAAAATCAAATAAACAAATCTTGCATTGAAGTATTTCCCATCAGACCAGAGTATGCACGCTCACCACTCTCTACCTTTCTAAGAGGAGACAGTACTTCAGTGTACTCCTACTATAATGCATTTAATTGCAAGGTTCACAATGTTTAACACAGCTAAATAACTTCATTCTTAAGAAGTCCACACAAGCTTTTGCTGAATGCTGTTAGTTTACTATTAATAAATTAACATGTTAATTTCTCTTGAACAGGACAGACTGGCGTATCTTCTCATCTTCATAACAATTACAAAAGCAGCTCTGAGGTAGTCTCTCATCTCTGCACAAGAAGAAAGGTTAGCTCCCCTGCAACATCTTCCTTCCTTCTCTTTATTAGCTGGATGTGCAAATTGTAAATCTTATTTGGTAGATTTAAATTGGTTTTTGTCTGTGACCTCTATTTTGGGAGGAGGGTACTTTTAATTTAGTTGGTTTAATTTCTCAGCTTTTGCTTGTAGTGTCCAACTCCCAGTTTATTTTTAATTACTTCTTAAAATCACTCTTTCATAAGTTCCATATCACAATTCTAGCTTTTGCAACAGGCCCTTGATTACAAAATTTTCTGTAATAAAAAAGAAGTTATTTTTCTTAACAGTTACTACAGTCATTATTTAGGGGCTAAATGCTGTATTACAGAGTCATTAATAGAAGTTGACTGGAAATAACAAAGTCAAACACTGTCTTTCTTCTTGTACAATATAAACAAATTATAAAAATAAATACTTTGAGCTAAAGCGTCTCAAAAAATCGACCAAAATTAATTTCTGATCCAAGTAACTTCTTTTAAGGTAAAAGATTTCAGAAGCTGAGGCCATTCTTTAAGCTAATTTTATACCTTCTGAACTCTCATCTTTGCAAAACTCATCAACAATCTTTTACAGCCTTAAGCAATTTCTGTATATAGTAAAATGAATCATGCCCATCAGGGTGAAAACACGGTACCAAAGGAACATGCAACCATAAAGTGCAGACAACTTCTGAACATCTAAACTATTAGAGATTTTTCAGGGTTTAAATACACTGATCTGATAATCTGAGTCATGAACAACAGTGTCAGAGAATGGGAAAAAATTGTTCACAAATTCAAATCCCAGACGTCTGGGAGATTAATTTATGGCAAACAACAAGCAAATTGCAATGGGCAGAAAGGCTTTATCATTTCAATACCTTATAACTCTGTACCACTGAAAGGAGACAACACATTATTATGGACAAAGACATTAATTTCAGCAATCTCATATTCACTGTCTTTTATATTCCAAGAGCCAGAACATTCACAGCACCAAAGAACAATGGGAGTCTTGGTAAAGGGACCGGATGATTAGATTTTGATTAACAGCCAAAGTATGGATGCTGATCTACTATGGAAAGAATGTTGTAAATTTTATCTTATTTTTGAATGTTTCATACATACGCTTGAGACCTAGACAAATGTATCACAGATAGGTAGAAGAATAAACCAACACAGGCTTGGAGACTATTTCAAGAGAAGTATGTGGATCACTCTTCCAGAGAGCTGCGTCTGAAGTCACTCACGTTTTTCAGACACTAGTTAAGTATAGTGTGACTAACTCTGAATAGTAACTCAGAATTTTCCCCAAACTAGACTGTGGACTGATTATACGTAATAGCAGTAACTGACCAAAATAGCACAAATTCTTTATTCTCCTTAACCTTTACTTTTCCACTCTTTACCAGTCATGCTCTGAAACAAAAACCACAGGATAAATAAAGTGCAACCTGACATCTTCTGCTCCATAAAACAAAAATTAAATTCCACACAGAGCAAAGAGGAAACTTTGCAATTAACAGTCATTCTTTGAAACGAAAGCATAGCGTGTTGAGAAAGATGAACTAGAAGTCCTCTTAAAAATGTGGCTTCTTAGATGAGATAGGAACATACTAAAGAAAACTCCTACACACATCCAAGTTTAACTGTTGTTTTGTTTGCTTCAGAAGACTCAAAACATCTTCTCTATTAACAAAAAGCATCTGGGCCACAAGTCTTAATACGACGAAAATTAATGTGTACATTTTTATGTTAAGTCACCCATCTCTCAGGCAACTTCTCACATGCAATCTACATTTCTCTCCCGTCTTTGAAACTGCAGTGCAACTCTAAATCTGAAGACTGGAAATTTGAGTTACTGCCATGTGAGTACAGACCTAATATCAAAATAATGTAATTACCAAATTCCTCCAGGACAAAGACTCCTCGCACAGTATTGCACTTTTTAATGTGATTCAGCTCTATGAAAACCTACAAAAACAGGAGGAAAAGTAACATAAAATTAGTCAGGTTTGGGTTTTTCAAAACTAAAAACCAAAATTAAGCAAAAACATCATCACGGCAGATACAACCTGAAGTGTTATAGTATACACCACTGGTTCATTTACAGTTTAATATATAAAGGGTGAAATAAATATTCAAAAGACAAACTTGCCACAATGCTAGAAATCAACAAATAAAAGTGCTAAGAAGCGAAGACAGCAGAAGATGAAGTACCTTCCGCTCCTTGCAGGAGGAGAAAGCATGGAAGAGAAACGAAGGAGTTAGTAACTCTGACATATCCAACATTGCTACCCCTTCAGGCACTCAAATGAGTTATTGCAAAAAGAATACCAACACACCTGAAATACAACAGAAGAGGGGGACGAGAAAAAAGCTGGCTCCCAAATTTGGCACGATTTGTAGCCTCTGATGCATCCCAGTTAGTTTCTGCCCCTCCATGCATCCTCCTCCAGCACAGAGGGCAGGTAAGGGGCACTATGCTTCCCACCCTGACATTGATCCTCCTAACCTAACCAGCTGTCAAATTTAATCCAGCGAGGAACCACTAGTTTTCCTTCTCTCTGACAGCCTTGCTGTTTAAGATTTTACTACAGTTTATGACACATAATCTGCACTCATTATTCTTGGAACTGTCTCCTTTAACAGTCAGTACCACTCTTCTGCTTTAAGCAGGATGGGAGAATATGGACCTTGTTTGCTCACTTCCATATGGCTGCTGCCAGTTGAGCAGTCACTTAGAAAACAAATCTGCTTTAAACTTACATTTTACATACGTGAACCCCAAAACAGTTGAACTACATGACTAGGTTTTCCAGTCCAGAACCTAGATGCCAAGATGGCATGAATAAACAAGTTCTCTGAGCATCATGAGTTTGTTCAATATGCAGTCTATTTCAAGTTACAAAACAGTCCCTTCTTATATGCACATCTCCAAACAGGTCAGAGTGACTACACAGACATAACAAGCTGTAGAAAGCGCTATAAGGAATCAATTCCATATTCCCATTTCTAATACACTTGCTTTTTCAAGGCAAAAGAAACACTAAGAGTAACATTGCCCTAACATTCAGAGTAAGGCTATGTCCAATACCTTAGAGAGACCCATTGCAAGAGTGTATTACAATAGTCTGGATTGATACTTTCAGTGCCTACACACTTATGACACCATGATCTCAGGACCTTTTTAAAAAAATATTACTAGAGAAACCTCATTGTCTTGGAAAGAAGTGAAAGGAAAATTCCTCTTGAATCCAATATTGGCAACACCCATGTAATCATAGATGATACGTGACCCAAGAAAGGCAAAGGAAGTCAACAGCAGAAATTGTTGTGGGGTTTTTTAAGGAACAGGCTTATCTGTATCAATAGAGATAAGTAAATGCACTGTACATCTAAGAGAAGTCAGGTTGATTTTCAAGCCAAAGGGGTTTTACTATTATTATTTTTATTAGCAAAGAACTAACAGACCCAGGATATTTTTTGCTCAACATAAAACCCACTAAATTTCCACTTAATCAGAAAATCTGAAGCTTGCTTTTTGCTTAATTCAAGCACTCGAGAGAAAGAAGACTTATTCCCAACTTTTTTGTTTGCCTGCTTTCACCATGTTCTGTATCAGTTTAGTTGGTCAAAACCATTTTATTTTTTGAGGAATAGTTACAAAGTAAACAAGTCAATAACAGAATACTTTATTGCACTTAGTTTCCTTTTTCTGTAATATTTTCTGTGAAAAGTTTTTGCTAGTAGTCTAAAGTACAAAATTCAGAAACTGAATAGAAAGGCCCAGGTGAAACATTGGTTGTTTTTTTGTTAACAGTAAAGCTGCCTAAAAGACTTGACTGGCACAGGTGCTCATGATCTGAGTATAACTTTAAGGAGTGCTGCATTTCCACAAGAGTTACGAGCAAGATGAGAATCTATTGAGTTTGTGTCAATTACAGTAAGGTATCCATTTTCAGAAGACATACAAGTTGATGGCCAACTTCCTCCTATATTGTTTAAGGGACAGAGATGCTCCTCTCCCACTCAATCAGAAAACAAGCATAAAGGAAATAACAGTTACTTACCCTAGGGAAACCAGTTCTTCAAGACAGAGCATTCAGTGTGGATCCTACTGTAGATGGGCATGTGCCTGCTGCATTTTATTAAACTTCCATCTATTTTTGACACGGATGAATTCATAATGGGGACAAAGTTACTGAGTCCCAATATTGTAACATAATTTGTAGATGTAAACTCAGAATAATCTGCCAATGCCACAGGTACACTTGATTCCTCCCTGTCCCAAAGGATTTCCTCTGACCTACTAGGCACAGATAGACTGGAACATTCTTTTTTCTTAAACTTATGTGTGCCGCCAGCATGGTGAGACAATTTGTGAACACTAAAGACAACTATCGCTTGCCTGGTGGGCCAAGTAGACATACTATTGACATCTAATACATTTCCTGAGGAATTCACAAGGCAGTAAGAAAGTATACACACTGCAAATCAAGACCCTTCAAAAACAGTTTCATATAAGCAAGCACCTTTCTAACACAGAAGTAGTATCTTCAGTCTTCTCATGTAGGACAGAATAGGCTCCATTCATCTTTTTTTTTTTTAAAAAAAAGTGGAAACTTACTTTTCTATGTTCTAAATGAATTATTTATATGATGTCCAAACAAGCAGAGCAACAGAAATCCCTTCTCTCAGCAAGCTGCATTGCTTAAAAGAGTACTTCGAAAGAGGGCCAAGAACAGGGCCTGTATATGGAGTAAGGAGAGGAAGATGAAGAGAAAGCTGTGCCTGATGAGGTCCTGTAGGCATTCTTGGGCAGTATCCCCATCCAAACTCAACAGAAACAGAAAAAGCCATTTTGAAGACAGAGGAACACTGTAGGATCCTGGTTTTAGTCACGCTCATATACATATTCTGAAATCAACTGCCTTAGCGAGCAATTCATATAATTTATATGAAAATTAGAAATGACAATGCATCTAGAATAGAATACCTTTTATTAAGAAAGCAGACTGGCTGATGAGTGTTAAGAATATGAGCACAAACATCCTTTAGCTCCACAGACTATGAAATTGGAGGAGATTTTTTTTGTGTGGTGCAACTAGTACGAGTCCTTTACGTAACTGCTAGTTGTCTATTCCATACAGACCCTCAAATGGCAGACTTTTGATACCTGTCTAGAGACTCTGTTTGAGAAGGAAAACAAGGATATGTCTTAGGTCCACTAAATGGTACTGAATGCCCTTGCCAGCTGGCAATGTAAATCTAAGAGACCAAGAATTAAACATATTGAATAAACGAAGTGTATTTTCCAGAACTGTACTTGTTTCAATATCCATCTTAAGTAATGGAAACTCATTTGGTTACAGCCTCATTGGAAAGGTGAAGAAGAGGAGGAATAATCTTTCAGGTGGGGGAGACAGCTGGCATAATTCCTGGGTCTGACCTGCACAAACTGTCTTCCAGAAAATACGTAGTAATTTTTGTCACAGAGAGCAAATTAGAACACCATTCTCTGTAAGGAAGGATATGATAAAGCTAGTACGCTAGGAGTGCTGGTGGTAGCACAGGACTCAGTATCTGTGGTACAAAATTCAACTGGTAATGGTCCTGATAGTCATATAATAACAATCAGTACTAGGTTTCCTTATGATTTCTTTCAGAATGTCATTCCAGTCTTTCAGGAAAAAGAAAAGACTTTGAATTTAAGGACAAGGGTATGTTCTAGGATTTGGAGTTTTTCTTTCGGACAGATGCATGTGTGCTCACTACATGCTTAACACTGAGTGTTTTTGTCTTGTGAAGATGCCTGTTACACTTCAGAAACCATGATGATGATGTGGCTACCTTCTTATACATTTTTTCTCACTGCAAATGCATATATACCTGGCTGTTCATTTACGAAATAATCTTCATAGACAGTTGAAGAGATGAGCAGTTTGAGCTCAACACCATTTTTGACTTCTGGCGGAAGAAGAAAAAGGAGAAGCAAACAGAACATTCTCTATGGTGTGTCCTTCCCTTAGGACAAAGTAATTTCTATTACATCCATCTGTAATGATACCAAACTGTTCCTTTGAGATCAGCATTTAATTTTCAAAGGCTTGAGACCTGCCATTTCCAATAACTATGAAAATTCATTCTGTACTACTGATGAGTTCCTCTTGCAGTTCTTCAGCAGTATTTTGGCATATCCAATAAAAAGTTAAAATCTGTAACTAAGTAAGGTAGACTGTTCCATCACAGAGTGGGTCTGAAATACTACAGCAGGTCAGCTGTAGTCCAGGTTCTACCCTGGCCATAGACAGGAAGAAGACTGAAGGAGGTTCACAACTCCCTACTCCTTATACTGGCACATACGAACTCAAAGAGGCACATGGTGCTGCTGTGACCTTGGGAGAAGTATTAAAGATTCTGAGCATGTGTGTTTGAGATGCACGTGCACGTCCAGTGGGATCTACACTGATGTATCCTCAAAGAAGAACAAAGCTTGTGTGGGAGAAAAGTCCAGTCAGGAGGAAAGGAAAAAACACTCCACAGAGGACTGGCAGAAGCTTTTCTTTCTCTCTCTCTCTCTCTCTCTCTCTCACACACACACACTCTCTCCCCTAAATATTGATTCTACTCTTAGCATAGCATGCATTTAGTATCATATGCAAAACAAAAAACCACAAAGCGAAATAAAAAACAAGGATCAAAGAAAGCAACAGAAACAACATCCAGAGAAAGGAAGAAATGACAATTCTAGTTGTGTTTCCTCTATATCCACAAGATCTGCTATTTGGAAGGAAAAAAGAAATCAGCAATTTTTTCTTATTTTTGTGAATTACAGCATTTTATTTTCATACTTTCCCGTTTTATTTTCATACTAAATTCTACAGACGATTTCAAAAATTTTAAAACAAGACAGATTAAATATGATGCAGAAGGTTGCCCTTTGTAGCTGCAATATTCAAACACTCTGTCTTTAAGGTTGACTGCTTATGCCATCAGGATGTGTTCAGTGTGATGCATTATGGCAGTTTAGATTACTACTGATCACTTTTTCTGTCTCTTAATATACTGGCTACCATTTGTTTTGTGCTTAGACAATTCAGACCACCAGAAACATTGATAGAAACCTCTATCAATGTTTTTTTTCAGTTGATTACAGTCTTCCTGAGGAAATTTAATTTCAGTGTATTTTTACATACATACATATATATATATATATTTTTTTTTTTTTTTACATATGCATGTGTGTTTGTGTGTAAATATATATGGGCTTTTCTACCGTCATTATTACTATCCCTTGTCCTTGTCGATACTCTGGGAAGAGGAAACACACATACAGGCGTGCTGCAAAAAGCTTCATGCTCACAGTCTTCTCACAGATTTCCCTCATACCTGACTGTGCATAAATTTCAGGTTAATTCCTTCCAGCGTGACCTGAAGAAGACCTCCTTCACCAGTTTTCATATCCTGCACAGGGAACTCACCACCCAACTCGGGGCCTGTGATACATTAATTAAAAAAACAAAAAACAAAAAACAAAGAAGAACAAACAAACAGAAATATCCAGACAGAGAAAAAGAAAGAACAGAACGCAGTCAGCCAAGTAATGGTATGTGGAAGGGAAATATAAAACAATAAAAACATTTGATGTGCATAACAAGAGGAATTACTAAGAACAGTGGGGAGCATTTCAGTGGAGTCCACTCACTAATGACAGCCTTTTGAGAACCACTAGATTTTCAAGTACCATAACAAATTTCATCCTGGCTACACGAAGGGACATCGATATTCAGCTCAGTCTGTATTTATTGCAGTTCATACTGGGATTTTATTTGTTTTGTTTCAAATGCCACATTTCATTTCTGCCTGTTAAAGACATTGCCATCACATCATACCACAGACAGTTTAGTACTCAGTACAAACACATAAGCAAGCACAACCTAGACTTGCATTTGTGAGCTTGATGATTTTGTTTGGCATTGGTTTATGCTTTCAGCAATGAAAAAGTCAACGTGTGTCCTGTCCTGGGCCCCCCAGTTCAAGAAGGACAGGGAACTACTGGAGGAAGTCCAGCGGAGGGCTACTGAGATGATGAGGGGGCTGAAGCGTCTCTCCTATGAGGAAAGGCTGAGAGACCTGGGGCTCTTTAGCCTGGAGAAGAGAGGACTGAGAGGGGACCTTATCAACACTTATAAATATCTAAAGGGCGGGTGTCAAGAGGATGGGGCCAGGCTCTTTTCAGTGGTGCCCAGCAACAGGACAAGGGGCAACGGGCAACAATTGGAGCACAGGAAGTTCCGCCTCAACATGAGGAAAAACTTCTTTACATTAAGGGTGGCAGAGCACTGGAACAGGCTGCCCAGGGAGGTTGTGGAGTCTCCTTCCCTGGAGATACTCAAAACCTGCCTGGATGCAGTCCTGTGTGACCTGCTCTAGGTGAACCTGCTTTAGCAGGGGGGTTGGACTAGATCTCCAGAGGTCCCGTCCAACCACTACCATTCCATGATTCTGTGATTCTTTGGTTACAACAATGACAATTTAATAGAGGACATTAATAGATAACAGTCTAGGCATTTGCATCTACTTTCTTTTGCATCATTCAATTCAGCTAGAAAATGCTTTCTTAGAACAATTTTTAAAACATTATCATTTTTGCAGAAGCACTGAACTCTGGAGAATGGCTTTCAAACACATTTTTAATAGTACATTATTGACTAATTCTTAAAAAAGCTTTCAAAAACCACTTTTGTCTCCTCCACCCTCAGTAAAAGTCCAGCCTTTCCTCCCCCTGCTCAAATTAAACTGGACTAATGGCAGGAGGAAGAAAATGGTGGCTCTTCCAAGCTCCAACAGCTAGCTGAGGGTTGAACACTGAGGATGCTAGATTTAAACATAAGTCATTTTCTCAGTCATGCTGATGCCAGTTATGAGTATAAAATATAGATCCCTTAGGTTTGTCATTAAGACACACCTAAAACAGGCTTGTACCTCAAAGCATGGCTCCCAGAGTCCCAGCATCCACTTGAAAAAAAAAGAAATAGTTGCAACAAAAATTGAACTTGAAAACAAGAAACCACAGTGAAGTTACCTCGAACCTGCAGACTCCAGCAAGGGAAAAACGACCACCTTATGAAGGTATAAAATAAGTCACCTTCATGTTTGTTACCCAGGTACATACAGCATCTACTGCTCTCTGGGAGCCGACTATGGAAGATGGAAAATTGCCTCAGTCTCCCAAAACTGCAATCCACTTCTCTAGGCTTTTTTGACTCAACAGGGAAAGGAAAGGGGTGTTTGCCAAGAAAAGTCTCACCAGTGTAATTATACTATCCTCACTCCAGTGATGACGCAAAACTAAGATGAATGTCTATGCTGGAGAAGTATACTGATATAAGGACATTGAGTTAACTACACCTTTTGACTTGCACCAGTACGGGAGTTTCCAATACAGAAAAGGTTTGTGCATTAAAAGTCTGCAGAAAGCTGCAGATTCATTGCTGTAGATTCACTAACACAAACAAGCATATTTATTAGCCTCCATTCTCAACACAAAGTGGACAACATAGTTCTACCTCTCAAACAGGAATACAAGGAGTAGCTAGCCAACCATGAAGAGAAAGTGAAGCTGAAGTTTCAGTCTTTTCTAGTTATCATTTTACGGCAGCTAGTCCTTACACATAACTCTTCTTTATACAGGTGTTTCGGTTTGGTTCGTATTTAGAGTGAGGTATATGGGGGCAAGCTAATGGTAACACTAATTCTGCTATTTACACACAGATGTACAAAGCTACCCTAAGATTTCCAAGTAAAAGATTATGTTCAAAGAAGTTATCAATAAAAAAATTTTGTTGATTGCAGATTAAAGAACAAATGTTCCCAACAAGCAAAATCTTGTACCTGGTTTAATGCTTTGCTGTCTTGCTGCTGCTCGCTCCATACTGTCTTTTACACAGTAGTATAATTCCCGACACTAACATATACAAGAAGAATGCAATGTTAATTTTCCAAATTACTAAAGGTAAAAGATTCTAACATTCTACAAAAAGAACAAGCTCCATGTGGTGCGTAACAACAAAAAGCCTATAAAAGTTCAACCACGGCTAATTGTTAGATGGTATTTATATTTATTTTCACTTGACAGAGAAACTATTTCATACAATTTCATAGCACAAGCTACTGAAGAGTTCATGACTTAGCACATGCTCATGAGTAATCTAACCAAGTTTACTCAGTTTCCTAGTGTAGAAAAAGCCTCAAAACAGTATCACAATCCCTCCCTTTCTTTCGGCTTCCAGCAATCAATATTAGTCATGCCCACATGATCTATCTTTTTGTTATTCATATCAATTTCCTTATGCCTTGTTCTTCTATTCATCTTCCTCCAACTCTTCTCTCTAGTATCAAATAATAATCTCAAGAGTAAAATTTAAGAAAATTTTCTATCCAAAGCCCAAGATGCATGCAACTGGTTTTCCAAGTAACTTCTGCAGCACACTGCTTTTTTCCTCCTTCCTTTTGCATTCACACCTGCATTATGATGACCTGGTCTATGTAAAATGAACGTTTTTGCAGCAGAAATCTAATCCCTTTATATATCTCAAAGACAATAACCTTTCAATATATTACTTGGATTTACAAATTTTACCTATTGTTTGCTGGTCATTGTGTAGGACTTATCGGAGTTGTAAGAGTTTTGTGGACTGTGGAGTTTTAGTGGTGTTTTCCTAGAAGGTTTAAGCTATTTCTTTATATTTGCAATTAATCATAAGGAGAAGAAAAGTGCTTTCCTATTAAGCGGAGAATGTAGGCATATATGAAATAAAAACCAAACACGGACCCATGGAGAAAATTTTTTATCTATTTTGTCAGTTTGTGTTTGCCATTAAACTTGACACAATTAACTCCATTACTAGGATATAGTTTTATTTAGCTTTTCCCCCAAGAATATACCACAATGTTTCTACTACCTTTATAAGCCTGCAAGCTTGCGCCACATTTAGTAATACTGATGCTTTCCTTCTTCTAACCAAAAGAAACAAGTAAAAGCTACACATGTAATTTCTTAAATTACACCCTGCTGTATTACTGTCTTCAGATAAATGACAAGGCATAACGCCAGCTTCAGACATCAGTGATGTTAAACAGCCATTACGGTTCAGTAACCAGTGCTGGAGAGAGAATGCTATTTTTCAATTAATGGAATATGACACACAAAGGATTTGTTTGCTCTACACAGCTTTCCCTCGGTATTGTGTGTATTAAACAAGACACATACCTTCTTTGTGTAGAACTTGTTCAGTTGTGTCTCCTGACCATTCCTCCGCCACAGGCACAGCACTTTTGTTTTGGGACAGTAAGTCATGTTGATGAGTTTCTCGTACCACCAACGTTCATACACAGTTCCAATGTTGCTTCTCAGCACAACGCAATCATCACATACCTGAGAGCACAAAATATTACATAAGATTTCTAATATTATTTATTGAAAGCTACTAGTTGCATTAATATTATTCTTGTCTCTACCTCCATGAAAAATATGTCTCCTGTTGTGTCTGTTCCAGCATGTACTACGAAAGTCTGCTTCTTGATGTGGCGGCTGCCACTGGGTCTCACAAGCAGTTCCCGTCCACTCTAGAGAAAACAAAATGCAATCATTAATGAACTTGAAAGCAATTTCTCCTGATCTACTGAAAAAAAGTCCATTGGGTGACGCTAGAAGCGTTTTCAACAAATGAAAGAAAAAAGAAGTATCTTTATTTAAAACAGGTGATTGGAGGCAATTTTGGACAAGTTTACTTTCAACAAGCGTGACTGTCAGAGTTATCACAGCATACAACAACATTCACACTGGTACCATACTCAGTATGGGACAGTGAGGTGTCTGGGTTCCAGTAACACTGCAGTAAACTGGTCTGCTTTTTCCCAATTAATTTTAAGATAATTTTGTGTCCTTTCTGTGCATAAAAGTAAGTTCCAAATGTAAAAGTGCTTCAAAAAACTAGCTTCCAAAGGGCCTAACTTGCATCCACCCTTGTGATGGTTGTGTTAAAAGCTGGCTAATTTTATTAATGGAATTAATAGCCTATATTATTAATGAGCATTACAGGACCTACGGTTTATTCTGCATGGCAGCTAATAGTGGAAACTATTGTATAGAAACTGATTGGTACAAGTCTTACAACGACCTGGAAACCAATGGGAAACTAAACACTTGTTATAGTCACAGGAAGAATAAAGGTTACCGCCCACAAAAGTGATATTAAGAAAACATTAGAGTTGCATAGAACTGTGGTACTGAAGTGTCATGTTTATACATATTTGCATTGCAGTTCTAATTGATAAATGCATAACATTGTACTACTACAAACAGGGTTGTATAATCACAGTCTTTATTCTAGACATGTGAAGGCAGTATTTAGTAATTCAATTTAATTATTTTTAATATTTTTAAATTAGTGTTGCAGAGCATTTATAGAAAAATTTTCAGATAAGGTTTTTCCTCCACTGTAGCTCCTACAAATACATCACTCATCACTGTTTTACTTACCAGATTGGCAAGTTTGTCTAAAATATCATTTATTTGCTGGCTGTGCACCAATCCAATATGTGATTTTCCCATCAGACGACGCACCTTTTTCCTAATATCATTCTTGTTTACCTAGAAGGCAGATATAAAGATAGTTACATACGCTTCTCTATTCACAGGCAGCAACTCCTGTCTCCTACGTCAACATATCTTGGTTCCCATTGCTAAGACAGCAAAGTAACTGATCACCTGCTCTGTCATGCACAAGTTGCACATACATCAGTCTGCCCAGCTACTGGGCAAGTGATACTGTGCACAGCAGATTTCCTGCCTACTCTTGCACAGAAGCAGCAATTCCATGACTGTCCACTTCCAACTACTGACACCAAAGTACTCAGTTCTCCATGTTGCTGCTTATGTGATGAGTCTCATCTGCCAGGCTAGCTTCTCCACCTCTTCCTCTTCAAAGAGCTGATTTCGTCAACTGTGGAGCCCTCAGCGCAAGAACTATTAACACAAAGGCATGATACCTTTCAGAATTCTCACTCTTTCATGATCCGTTTCCTGGTCACTAGGCAGGGCTCTAACAAACATTTCCAGATAGTCAGACAGCAGCAGGTTCCTCCTCAAGATGAGCTGCAGGAGAGCTCAGAAGCATTGCCTCAGGTGCCATTTCAAAAGGCTATTACAAATACCAGCCATTGATACTAAAGGCTTCAAGACAGTACACTCGTGCTTGAGCACTGACTTCAGGCTAGATCGGACATTCTCTTTAATCATATTGTGATTATGATCTTAATGCTATGGAGCATACAAAACAAATTCAACCTGCATCCTTCCTTCAGCAAGAATTCTTTGCACTTGAAAGAAAGCGTCGTATTTTTCAATAATTTTTTAGGTAAAAACTACTAGGCTCTGCTATCCTAAAACAAGAAAATAAATTAAAATACCAAGATGTTGGGTTTGGAGGATTATGCGTCCCTTGATAGCTCAGAAGAATTCACCTCTCTAGTTATGGAAGGCCTTCCAACTTGGCAGTTTCTACTAGAAATTACCCTAAGATGAGAACCTTAGTACAGTCTTTAGTCTCTTAAAGCCTTCACTCTAACTGCTTGGAAAAAATCCTATACAAAACCAATATATACCAAATTCTAGATACACCACGTTTTATCCCAAAACTGATAATCAGTGGGAAAAAAGTAACCACAGTAATAACAAGAAAAACCCCAACAACCTACAACCTTTCTTTTGCCAAGTTCTTCATCACATCATTGCTCTTGAGCATCTCTGAAGATGCACTGAAAGAAACAATATTTTTATCCTAACTCTCAAATCCCCTGTATTCCCTTTTCACCTATAACCAATAGGCCCAGACTGATACAATTTTTCAAAGGCATAATATCCTATTTGCCTCCTTATCCCTTTCCCCCAGGAAACTGTTTTCTTGAGGGTCTCATTATTTTCACCACACCAAAAGACTCTCTTGCACTCTGGGACTAACTCTATCAACATGTCTCATGAGACAGCCTTTTGAAACCAATATTATTTGCTCTCCTCTTTTGCATCCTTTGATGAAAATAGCTGCACTCGTTATCATTAATTCTACTTCAAGTATTGCAGCAATGCAGGTCCTAATAGCCAAATCTCACAGCCTTCTTCTGAAATAAACTCATCCCAGATATGCTCAAATCCCATCTTAAAACTTGTCTTTGCATTCCATTTATGTCAGGAAAAATCAATAGCTTCTTTCTCTCTCCGCACCCCCGCCCCCCTGCAAATTACATACAACAACTTACTCCACTGGCTGGGTATCACATATTCTTTATCTATGGAATGATGTCTCACAACCTCATTTAAACAGTGAAAGTTATCAAACTATCACCTGTGTACAGCTATTCTTACTGCCAAGCAGTTGCATTCGACAGCACAGTGCAGCAAATCTGTTACAGGTAAAACCATGCACCTTAGCTGCTTCTAACCACAACAGACATTTTAGAAGATTGATTTTCCAGTGACTGAGGGAGGATTTGGACTATCTAAGAAATTATTCAGACTAAAAGGAAGATATTGCTAGTAGCCACCTGCAGCATTAAGGTGCATATAGACAGCCCGCTGAATAAGGAAAAAAGGGTTGCTTACTAGTAACAGCAAATTTCATGTTAAGATATTGATACACATATTCACAGTCTGCCCATGTTTGGAATTTGCAGCTGTGAGGAAATCGCATTAGAAGACGCTCTCTACTTAATTTAAAACTCATACTCTCAAAAATAAGAATGTCCTCTAAAGTTACTAGTGGAAATAGTAAATTTCCATTTTAAATGGCAATGTATATGCATACCCATGGCACAGAACTGTACAAACTTAGATGATGTATCTCAAAGAATCACCAGGTACTGAGGCGATTTTTTCATTAAGATTAGGAGATGTGTTGTAACAGTCATTTATACTTCACAGTTCTGGGCTCTGTGAACAGACATGTATGGTTTCAAGACAACACCAACAAAATACTCTGCTTAAATTCTAGCAGCGATCTATTAAAAAGAAAAAGAAGTCACCTTTATCATAAGCATATAAGCAATCATATTATGTAGCAGTGTAGCCAACAAGCGGTCCTCATCATCCTCTAAACGCTTTCGATCATGTTCTCCCAGGGAAAGATACCTGCAAGAAGAGCCAGATTTGAAGCAGACTCACAGGCATTCTTCATCCAATTCACTAAAGCACTGGCAGAAGACAGAGCACTATTTGTAAAGTGTATGGCAAATAAAACCTCCAAAAACACTAGGCCAAATGAGCATCTTCCAGCAAAACACCGTGATCAGTAATTATACTTTGCCATTAATTATCAACTACTTAAAGTAAATAATATCTGCTCAATGGGAAAGTTCTCAGCAGTCTCCTGGGCTTATTCATTTCCTCTTGTCCACAGTCACAGCTCCATGATAATTACAACTGCCAGAAGAGGAACATGTAACAGTGCAAGAGCTACCTGCCTTTAGAGCTTAAATGCAGCTGCAAGGCAAAAGGGAACTGATAAAGCAAATGCACAGGCACTCTTTTTCCAGTAAGGTAGGTAGTTTGTGGAAAAAGAAACAGTTTTCAAACTAGCACTCCACAAACTAGTTCATATTTTGGCTACCAGATGCCATGTTACATGATAGCATGGGTGTAGATGGTACAGCTGCAGGTGGTAGACAGAGCAGAGAATGATCAGATATTAACAGAGCTGAGGAAAAAAAAAAAGCAAGCAGGTGGTGAAGACTGACATCTTAGAAGTAGTCTAAGGTTCCCTTAGGTTTTGTTGTTTCTTTCTTTTAACTACAAACTATAAAGTAAAAACACCTATAAGCAACTTGCATTTTGAGAAGGCTCAAAATGCAGTTTCTGAAGACATTTAATTCTTCCACTTTAGGTCAACACTGATATCTTCCTTTATTCCAAAATATAGTCACCTTCCCACAGAAATCTCTTGCTTTAGTACTGATCTAGTCTATTTCATCTATTCATACTGTGATTATGTTTACATTACCCCTTTCTCTTGAAATATCACCTCCCCACAAGAGTTAAAAAAATGTATGTCACAACTGAAGATAATATTTCAGTATCAGAAGACTGGCCAGCACAGAGACAAAAGGCTTACTTTAGAACAGTCAGGTATAGTAACAAGGCCTACAAAGTGACTATAGCACATTCAGCAGAATCAAATTTTTTTTTTTTTTTTACTATTTCAGCCTCAGGTGAAACAATAAGGAGGAAGGAGGTCTACTAAAGAACTTTACCTGTCAATCATCTCCTGAGGTCCCTGGTCCATACCCATTCCTTCTCTCTCTAACATTACAGCATCCAAAAAGGCATCTTCCCAGAACTGCATCTGGTCCCACAAAGTCGAACGCTCTTTGCCTATGCAATGTATACAAAAATTGAACATTTATTCCATTTACTCCAGTCAAATACTTGAAGATAAATTCCTGTTCCTCCCCACCCCTTGAAAATACCATAAGCCAACATACAATTAACCCATATTAAAAAAAAAAAAATGGGTTACTTTTAAACCACAAGCAATATCACAACTGAGAAAAAGTGTAAAAAGAGTAAAAGAGAACACAAGACCTATCTTTCATTCTAATTCACGGCATAATCTTTTCAAACCCTCACACAAAAGTACCTCTCATCTCTACTCTTTAAGGAGTGTTATCTTCTTCCATATACTGTTAACACTGCCCGAAAGAGAAAGGAATATCTCACACAAACACAGATCATAGCAAACACACAGAGAAGTGGAAAGATAAGATTATTACTCATAGAGAAGGTTTCCATTGCAGCATCCTCTAACTGGTCCCAGACAGATCCTTTATCCCTACCTGCACCATTCCAAGCAGGTAGGAATGATAAATGGAAAGGATGACAAACACAGGAAGAGAAAGCTCTTGATTAACAGCAAGTCCAGACGAAATACATTTCAAAAAAGCCAATATACTCCTAGTCCAAGGATACACCTGAAGGCCATCAGTATTCTGAGTTTAGTAGCCCTCTGCTCAATGACCTAAGCTAAAGAATTTTTTTTAGATACATTTTAGCCTTCCATGCACAGCTAAGTAAGTTGTTCCTCCCCTTTTTCCAACAGTTTACAGAATTCATTTTGAAGAGCAGCAAGAGACTTGAACAAACTACATTTTATGCAAACTACACCACTCACACCCACCTCCTCTTACTCTTATTCAATCTTCCCAGCATATCTTTGGCTTTACTCTGAATGCCTGATGCACCCGCCTATTCTACCAGTAGGGACAACAGTAAGCGGTTTAAAACAGTCCCTGGGAATGTAAAAATTCTAGTTTGCCCCAGACATGACTCCACCTGAACTTCAGTCTAAAAGATCCCCTCTCCACAAAAAAAAAAAAAAAAAAAAAGTACTTTACCCAAAAGTCCTTCATAGAGATAGACACGTTGGTTCCCATCCTCTGGACCTCTCCCTGGAGTACTGCCTTTGCTATCCTTCACACTCTGCTTCAGGTTGTGAGACTTTGCCTGAAAAATGATACAAGAGGTGTCAGACAATTTAACTCTGCACCCTGCAGGGCTGTTTCTTGCAGTCCACTGTTGTGCTTAACAGATGCAGTTTGCAAGCTATACTTCATAGATGCTTCTTCCACAAATGTTCACAAAACAAATTACTCTGTTCAAAGAGCAAGGTAATACACTTAAAAGTCCAGAGTCAGACAAAGTAAGAACAAAGAGAGTCAGATAGAGAAATTAAAACACAGCAGAAGCAAAATGCTTCCTTGAAGGAAAACTGAGACAAAACAAAAACTACAAATCCCAGACTATAGGAAAGAACAGTTAAACCTCTTCTGTCAGCCCCTATATTTCATACTTATGCAGTAAGTTTGCCCACATTTCAATAGTATATCTTTCCCACTGTTTAGGAAATAGCTGAGTATCACTGTCATTGTACAGATCGTGAGGAACTGAGGAAGAAATACGCAGCCTTCTCAGGACTGCACAGAAAATGAATATTCACAAGCAAAATAAGATTACCTGAACGCTCTCTCACATTCAGACTTTACAGGTTTTTCTTCATTTACCATTCATAAAGGTATGATGGTAAGTAAATGATTACATATCATCTGGTCTGAAGAGCTGTGTGCTGGGACTATCAGCCAGCAGGAACTGTCATAATAAAGCTGGGCGATCTATTTCTCTACCACCAGGTAAACCATGGTGCGATACTTGACATTCATCATGCATCATATACACCCATCATCTTTGCTCTAAATCTGTTGCAAGGTCTTAAAATTCCATTTAGTTTCATTAATCAAGTAGAAAACCACAGAAAACTGGTTTTTTAAAATAGGTCTCTTTAGTAACTCAAGAGGACCCCTTCTTGCAGCTAAATAAGCAGACATGGTTACATCATTTTCATGCTCTTAGAAGAAATCTGAAATGAAGCATGATGATTTTGTTTGTTGCTTAAAATTAGAAGTAGAAACCCTGTAAAGGCCTTTACAATCTTATCAGGATTATAAAATAATGAACACAGTGAGATCAATCTTAAGGCACTGCAAATTGTTTTCATATTTGGCTGACAGCTTGATTTAGCCAAATTGAGTTTATAATTATTTTCTTGGTAAGATGTATATTAGAGGTTATACCAAATAATCAAGGACTTTAAAAAACAAAACAAACAAGAAGTGCCCTCAGATCATCTGAATTTTACTGCATACAGATCTTTCAACTAGGAAAATATATTTAAAAGTTAGGATTACACTTCAAATAGGTTTAAAGCAGTGTTTTAAAGAAAGAGAACAGCAGAACAGCTGCTAAACCTACAATAGGTCATCCCTTTCCCGTATCAAAGAGCTGCTTCTAAGAAACAGGGAATCCATTCCTCTTAGGTAAGGTTGAACAATGCCCATCAACGTTGCTTTGCCTCTGAAGGGCAATTAAATGTCCATTAGTTAAGAAAAATATTGAATGAGGATGAATTAAATATTGCTAGAGCCTGTAACATGGTGCAAGATGTTAATCTACTATTCTCAAAGAACCATATATAGCACAGGAAATGAAGAAAGGTATGTGGAGCCATACAAAATTATATCTTCAGCATTTTAATACTGGAACTCATTGCTGATTAACCCTTAGAACAGAATCAGAGATCCTCTTCCACACATGCACACACATTGAAATGATTACTGTATAAGATTTCACAAAAATAAAAAAGTCAAGTCTGCAATGCCCTTACAAAGATAGAGCTAGTAGCAGAGTTTGTCTCAATTTCACTGTCTGACACAGTGCCCCTGGATCCTGTCAAATTGCCACCATTTTCCACACTTGGGCCATCACCAGCATTGCTACTCAAGTCACTGTCTGCTCCTAATGTCTCTCCGGAACTGTTACTAACCTGTGGAGAAAAATAAAGCAGTTACCTTCAATAGACAAGGACATCATGGAGAGAAAAGCTGCAAAATGTTTCTTCTTAAGGCACAAAATAAGCAGTACAACTGAAGGCCATATTTGCCTTTTCTCCTTCAGTAACATTATCTTTCATCAAACCCTACTCTGCAGAAAAAGATTAAGAGAGACTCAAAAAGCTGTTCAGAAAGAACACAGAACTTTTTAGGTTGGAAGGGATCTGTTACTATCATCTACAGAGCAGCCCCCCTGCTCAAGCAGGGTCAGCTAGAGTACATTGCTGAAGACCATATCCAGTCAGGTTTTTAAAATCTCCACAGATGGAGAATCCACAACCTCTCCAGGCAAACTGCTCCAGTGTTTGACGACCCTCAAACTAAGAAAGTGTTTTCTTGTGTTCAGAAGAAATTTCCTGTGCTTTAACTTTTGTCCTCCCAGTTGGTACTACTGAGAAGAGTCTGGCGCCCTTGCCTTCATTCCCTTCCATCACGTATTTATACTCATTGATAGGATTCCCCCTGAGCCTTCTGTTCTCCAGAATGAACAGTCACAGCTCTCCCAGCCTCTCCTCTCATGAAAGATGATCCAGTCCCTTAATCACCTTTGTGGCCCTGGGCTGGACTCATGCCAGTAAGTCATTATCCTTCTTGTACTGGGGAGCCCAGAACTGGACATAATACTCCAGATGCAGCCTCACCGTGTTGAGTAAAGCAGAAGGATCACCTCCCCAGGTGCTGACAATGCTCCTCCTAATACAGCCCAGAATACTGTTGGCCTTTTCCACCATGAGGGTGCATTGCTGGCTCACGGTGAGCTTGTTGTCCACCAGGATCCCAAGGTCCCTGCCAACAAAGCTGCTTTCCAGTCAGCCCCCAGCGTGTACAGGTGCCTGGCGGTATTCCTCAAAATGGGATTTGAGACTTTCCCCTTGTTGAAGTTCTTAGATTCCTCTCTGCCCAGTTCTCCAGTCTGTTGAGGCCCTTCTGAATGATGGCACAATCATCTGGTGTGCTGGCCCACCTCCCAGTTTTGTATAATTTGTGAACTTGCTCTGTATCATCATCCAGGTCATCAGTGCAGATGTTGAACAGTACTGACCCCAGTACTGACTAGTGACTTGCCTCCAGCTGGACTTTGTGCCACTACTCACAACCCTCTGGGCCCAGTCGTTCAGCCAGTTTTCAGTCTACCTTGCTGTCCACTTACCTGACCCATACTTTGTCGCCTTGTCTATATTCGAGGAGACAGTGTCAAAAGCTTTACAGAAGTTGAGGTAAACAACACCTGCTGCTCTCCCCTCATCCACCAAGCTAGTCATCTCATTGTAGAAGGCTATCGGGTTCGTTAAGAATGCCTGCCTTTATGTAAATCCATAATGAATAGTCCCATTCACCTTCTTGTCTTTCATGTGTTTGGAAACATTTTGCAGCAAGACTTTCTCCACCATCCTTTCCCAAGGACTGAGGTGAGGCCAGCCAGTCTGTAGCTCCCCAGATCTTTCTTGCTACCCTTCTTGAAGATAAGAGCAGTATTTGCTGTCTTCCAGTCTTTAGGAAACTCTCCTAATCACCATGACTGTTCAGAAACAATTGAGAGCGGCCTCACAATGGCATCAGGCAGGTCCCTCAGCACTTGTGGCTGCAACCCCTCAGGAACCATAGATTTATGTATATCCAGTTTGTTGAAGTGCTCCCTAGCCTGGTCATCCTCCACCAAGGGCAAGTCTTTCTTGTTCCAGACTTTTCCTCTGGTCTCAAGGGCCTGGGATTCCTTAAGGCCAGTTTTACTGGTAAAGACTGAGGTAAAGAACGTGCCAAGTACTTCAGTCTTTTCCATCTGTCACCAGTTCCCTGACACATTCAGCAGGCGACCCACATTTTCCCCAGCCTTTTCTCTTGCCACTTATGTACTTGTAGAACCCTTTCCTCTTTCCATTCACATTCCTTGGCAGACTCAACTCCAGGTCCATACTGGCTTTCCTAACCCTATCCCTGCAAGATGAGACAGCAAACATATACTCGTCCTGGGTCACCTGTCCCCGCTTCCACCTCTTGTATACTTCCGTTTTATGTCTGAGTTCATCTAGGAGCTTTTTGCTCATCCATTCAGGCCTTCTGCTGCCTTTGCTTCGTTTCCTACTTGTTGGGATGGACTTTTCCTGAGTTTGGAGGAGGACATATTTGAATATCAACCACGTCTTCTAAGCCCCTCTTCTATCTGGGGCAGTATCCCATAAAATACAATTTCTGGGCCCATTAGAGAAAGACAATCAGAGTATTGTTCTTGTTTCGGGCAGGGAAAAGATCATGGAAAGCCAGATATTCACAGGTCTGCAGCAGTTTAGAGAGAAGAAAAACCACCAACAACAAAAAGGAAACTGCCTTGGGTTTTATCCCTGGAATATGCCATATCAGATAACATGTGGTACAGAAAAGACTCATTCTTTTTTTTACTG